CGACTTGCAGGAGGAGGAGGGAGGAGGGAGGAGGGAGAAGGGAGGAGGGAGGAGGGAGGAGGGACGAGGGAGGAGGAACGAGGGAAGAGGGAGGAGGGCATCATCATCATCATCATCATCATCATCATCATCATCATCATCATCATCATCATCATCATCATCATCATCATCATCATCATCATCATCATCATCATCATCATCATCATCATCATCATCATCATCATCATCATCATCATCATCATCATCATCATCATCATCATCATCATCATCATCATCATCATCATCATCATCATCATCATCATCATCATCATCATGAGCATCATCAGCATCATCATCATCAGCATCATCAGCATCATCAGCATCAGCATCAGCATCAGCAGCAGCATCATCCGTCATCATCGTCATCATCGTCATTTGCATCATCATCATCAGCAGCAGCATCATCAAATCATAATCATAATCATCATCATCATCATCATCATCATCATCATCATCATCATCATCATCAACATCATCATCATCATCATCATCAGCATCAGCATCAGCATCATCATCAGCATCATCATCATCATCGTCATCATCATCATAATCGCCATCATCATCATCATCGTCATCATCCTCATCATCATCATCATCATAATAATCATCATCATCAATATCATCATCATCAACATCCTCCTCCTCCTCCTCGTCATTATCATCATCATCATCATCATCATCATCATCATCATCATCATCATCGTCATCAGCATCAGCATCATCATCTGCAGCATCAGCATCATCAGCAGCAGCATCATCATCAGGAGCAGCAAATCAGCAGCATCCTCATCATCATCATCATTATCATCATCATCATAATCGTCATCATCATCATCATCATCATCATCATCATCATCATCATCATCATCGTCATCGTCATCGTCATCATCATCATCAGCAGCAGCAGAACCATCATCATCGTCAGCAGCGCCATCATCACCACCATCAGCATCATAATCATGATCGTCATCATCATCATCGTCGTCATCTGCATCATCATCATCATCATCATCATCATCATCCTCATCATCATCATCATCATCATCATCATCATCATCATCATCATCATCATCACTAATATCGTCATCATCAGCATCGTCATCCTATGCCAAGGTGGCGCTGGTGTCCGGCTACGTCCCTGGCTCCTCGACCATGGCACCGCGCAAAGCAGCCTACAAAGCCGGCGCCGACTTGTGCAGCGATCTATGCTTCTCTCGAAGTCACCGCTACTACGGAGTCACCTCGTCTCCTCCTCCGACTACGAAGTCACCGCTACTACGGCGCAGTTCTGGGCAGCCGACTGGAACGGACACGTCGGCGCCGACTGGCACCGCGCCCCGGAACACGAGGGCAGCCGCTTCGTTCCTCAGGCAAATTACCACGCCTCGCGGTCGCCTGCAGCGCGGCTCGCTCCATGCCACTCGCCTGACTCACCTCGACTCCCACAAGGCAATCAAGTGCCGCGGGACTTGGAGACACAACGCAACGAAGAAGTGGCACGAGATCGACTACTCTGTGGGGGACAAGGACTTGCTTCCACAATTGTGCACTGTCACTACCTTCGCAGCCGGCCTCACCGACCACATGGGCAAGCACTATGCCGGTAGTGAGGCAAGCACTGCAACAGAGGGTGGGAGGGCTATCGGTGGCCCATGTGATTCAATCTCGAACGCCCTGTGGGCTGACCCGAGGCCGGAAAAGGCATCTTCACCGCGCGTGTCATTCATCACCTTTGGGCAACACTTTCAACGTCGGATCGCTGAAAGGGTCTTTCATGAGACCGTCTTCGCTGTCAGGACCAACTCTGCGAACTCATGCGTATTGCACGGGATCAGCCCGACGGCATGAAGAGGCACAACCACGATGAGCCTCCCGCTAGACATTCAACGCCAGATGCACACCAACATTCGAAAGAAGCGAGGTTTCACATCCATCCGCAGGTACGGCCGAGAATGAAGACGTATTCTTCGATGTGCACTTGGACGTAGTCTCTGCCGTCCGCCTAACAAATGTGGGCGTTGAGATGGGAGGGCGACGAGAGGAGGGGGCCCCGAAGAGAGGGAGGGGGGGAGGAGGGGGCGGGCGCCGACGACAAGGATTCGGACCGGCACCCCGCGGGGGCCACGTGATGAGGCGTGAGAATCCTGCTCGCATGAGAGGCCCGAGCATCATGGCCCACGCTGACGCAGGCGGGCCGAGCTACTGCCCAGGATAGCGCTCGCAGCCCGACGCAGTCCGGGCGGTGTGCGTGACCAGGCGCAAAGCGGGGGGGCGCGTCCCTAAGGTGTTCACCGTGTTCTTCTTCTTCGGGGAGCACAGCCCGCGCTGCCGCGTGGCGGTGAAAGGGCTGGGCGCCCCCTTGCGCCTGGCCTCTGGGCTGGAGGCGCGGGGCCACGAGGACCTTTAGGCACAGGGCCAGCCAGGCAAGAAGTTCGCTGTCGACCGTCGGGAGACCGAGACC